GGGCGAAATTCTGTTTTTAGGACATTGCATTTATGCAAGCCTCAATCTTCAAGTTTGTCAGTATTTCTTTCTCCCTAGTTATATTAATCTTGTATACTATTGATTTTGTGATTTTCTTTATGATTATTATCATTGGAATTATATTGTTATTTTTCATATTTTCTAATATTGCTAAGTTTGGTGTCTATAAACAGTCAGTTTGATGCGTCTAAATTTACTCATCAATGATGAAAATCACTGGAGATTGGAGAAGAAAGACCAGAGAGTTTCAAATCAATGGAGTTTGTCCTCTCCATTCGTGGGTAGTGTTATGGATTATTTTTTGTATTTGATCCTTCCTACGTAAAATTTGTGGGTATGCTTTTTCGTTCAATGCTTCCCATGCATGTTAATTTGGTGGGAGCGTATTGGGGTAACTCTCCCAAGTTGTGGTTGTGCACCCTCTGCAAATGATCTTGGTGAAGGAAGTTTGCATCATCAGGTATATGCAGACTTTGCAGTGCAAGAAGAGATTACTTGCTAACGCCTTACGGCTCTTACGTATTTTTGTCCTAGTCTGGGCATCCATATGACTTTGGCTACCATGCGTTTGGTTGATCTGGTCTTTCTTATTTATTTCCCCACACAGCGCATTCCTTGTCCCTTTCTTACACTGTTTCTTCTATTCTTCTTTTAGCCGGTGCATGGTACACCAGTACCTTCATTTTTTTTTTGGGCGTTTTAAAAGAGGGACAACTTGTGATAATTTACGGTTATTCATTTCTTCTGGGCCCTAAGAGGCTATGAAAGAATTTCACTCTGCCCGTAACCATAGTTAAGGAGACTCACCAGTACCTTCATTAGGTTTGACCAATTACCACCATATTATTCACCACCTCCGTCTGATTCCTTCATGTTGTTCACTGATGAAAATCAAAATGGGTGTCAGATTATGTGAAGTGAAGCTTTGTGGGCAATGACAATTGACAGCACATGGCCAGTTTGGTGTAGGAAGGGAAAATAAAAGTTTTATACACCTTTGTTTTTTATTATCATTTTCTTTATTTTGATCTGACTCATTATTCTTATTGTCTTAACTTATTTTGTTACTTGATTTTTACATTTTATATGAAAATTGTTATTATCATTCTAAAAATCATCTCATTTTACTCCTTCTAACAAGTGTATTTTTCTTTCTAAGTATAGAAAATTTGGAGTGCAAAATGGGATTTTTAGAGTGCCAACAATAATTTCCTTTTATATTTCTAATTTTATTTTATTGTTTTGTTGTAGAGAATGGTGCAACAGTAAGCAACAATATATGAAGTGCTGATGGAAGTGCTTTCATTCTTATTCCATATAATACTTCTCAGCCAGCGTATCGATCATTTGTAAATTGCAGCTTTTATTCTTGGTATTCGGTCTGAGTTTTGAGTGTGTCTTGTTTATCCTAGTTATACTATTTTATGGTGTTTTTAATGGAAAAAAAAATCTAATATTCCCAAAAAAAGTGAACATTACTGGTTTTGGATATTTGAGAGGTAGTAAATTATACACGTCGATCGTACACCATAAATATGCATTCATAACTGCATGCATAATTCAACAACTACTAAAAAAAAATTATTTAATTGATCCAGTAAGTATGAAGGTGAAGGAGTTAATTGATCCAGTAAGTATGAATAAGGTGCAAGAATTAATTGATCCAAGCTCCCAAGAAAGTATGAAGGTGAAGGAGTTAATTGATCCAGTAACGTTGTCTTGGAGGTTCGATGTGTTGTCGGCTTTATTTTCAGAGGAAGAGGTGAGTATGATACGGTCCATGCCTATTAGCTTTCGTTTGCCGGCGAACCGTCTGATTTGGCATTTTTATAATGTTGCTTGGAAGCTTGTGCAATCTCCCTCTCTTAGTGCTTCTACCTCAAATTTTGATGGAAATTCATATACGAAGCTTTGGAGATCTGTTTGGAAGGCAAAAATACCTCCGAAGGTGAAAGTCTTTGTTTGGAAGGCTAGTCAAAGTATTCTCCCTACTAAAGTCAATCTTGCTAAGAAAGGTGTTTCATTGGAAGTGGGGTTGCGATGTGTAACGGAGTTCCTGAAACGAAGGGTCATGTGCTTAGGGAGTGTAGTTTTGCACGGGCGGTTTGGTTTACATCTCCTATTGGGATGTGTTTGGTGAGTGTGCGGGATAATTCAATAAGGTATCGTTTGGTATGCAGGCGGGACAGGACGGAACGAAATGAGATGGAACAGGATGGGACAGGACGGGACAGAACGAAGAAGGAGCAAAGATGCCCTAGGATGGAAACAAGGAGGAAGAAGAAGGAGACGGAGAGGTTATAATTTTGTGTTCCACGGATGTGGAACAAGTCGTTCCAGGGGTGAGGCGGAACGAAAATTCACCCAAAATTCGTCCCGTGGAACAGCGTGTTCCACTCGTTTTAGGCGCACCAAACGTGGGACGGAACACCTTGTCCCACTATATTCCGTCCCATCCCACGTACCAAACGATACCTAAAGGAATGGTTGATCTCGTTGGTGGACCAACACGAAGTTGACTTTGACATTTTTTGTATGCTTCTTTGGGCGGTGTGGCAAGAGAGAAATGCTAAGGTTTGGGAAGGAAAGCAAGGGAAACCAATGAAGGTGGTTCAATGTGTTCTTAGTTGGCACCAGGCCTTCCAAATGGCCAACTCCAAACCAAGGCTCCCTAAAAAGCCGCTGCAAACTAAATGGTTGTTGCCCCGGGAGAGATGGGTGAAGATTAATGTGGATGGTGCTACACGGTTGGCAAATAATGTGGGTGGTGTGGGCGTGATAATTTGGGAGCGAAATGGGTAGTTTGTTGCGGCAGGGGCCTGGAGGAGAGAGGGGATTGGATCAGTGCTACATATCGAGTTATTGGCAGTGATGGAAGGACTTCGGCTTGCACAACGCTTGGGGGTACATCAGGTTGTAATAGAGAGCGATTATACTCAGGCTCTGACTGTGATCCATATGTACTCTAGTGATGTTTCGACGTTGGGGATGCTTGCGTAGGACGTTGGGCAGGTTGCGGTTGCACTCCATCCCACTCAATTTGTGCATGTCCCTCGAACCTATAATGAGATAACGCATATATTAGCTCAGTTTGCTATTTCAATTGGCAATGAGGTAGTTTGGTTTGAGGATCCTCCTGACCTTATTTAGGACCTCCTTATCCAAGATTTGATGTAACATCTATTGGAATATTAATATATCATTGTTTCTTCTAAAAAAATTACTAAAGAGACCATATTTAAGTGTAATGCTAGAAAAATAACTATTTATACCAAATTTAAAAAATGATATAAGGTAATTATTGATGATTAGATTCTTACTTACGTGTTGATTAACATGTTTATTTCCTACGCAATGGTCTATTTGTTTGGATCGCATTCGGAAAATGACTTTCTACGCATCTCACATATATCGAGAAGGAAATCTTGTTGCGGACAATTTTGCTAACATGGGTTTGTCTTCTCCATCTTTAACTGCATGATTCTCCTCCAACGGCGGTTCGTGCTGCTCTGTTTTCAGATTATGTTGGCTTGCCTGGTTACTGCTTCTCAAATTAATGTGCATGTCGGCATCTTGTCTCACTTTCTTATTTTCTCCTAACTTTATGGTGTTGTTTGACTTGTTTTGCAAGTTTAGACCTTTAGGTTTGGTTCTAGAAAGGTTAAGTTTCATGTCCCCCCCCCCTTCTTTTCTTTGTATCATTCTCGTTTTTTGTTTCTAGAAGGGTAAGGTTTATGTCTCCCCTTCTTTTTCGTGTATTCCTTTTTGTTGTCTCTGTTTTTTAAGGGGTAAGGTTTATGTCCTCCCCTAACTAAGTGTAACTTATTTTTTCGTTATCAATAAAATTACCCTCGTACAGTCGAGGTTTCCCAAAAAAGGAAAACATGGTTTGCTTATTGGTCGAGAAATTAGTCTATCTAGAATTACTCTTCATTTAAATCATTTTTTATAAATCATATTACTTAGTTGTTGATAATTCAACTATTACTTAAGTGTTAAATTATGTACTTATTTTTTAATTAATGACACATTACATAACTTACAAATGCGGTCTTAAAACTTGGTCTACCATACATTTAAAAAAAAAAAAAATCATGTATAAGCATTTGTTATCGATTGGTTGGCATAAGCGTTTGTTATAGATCGATTAGTTGATCTAAATTCATGCCTTACTTGGCAAGACATTATCATGACAAGTAACATCCATGCAAAGGCACAGGTATCACCTTGCATGGCAAGGAAGCCTAGTGTGGTGCCACGTCAAAATATCGTCAACTACCTTCAACTTTGCCCTTTGACGAAAGCATTTGGGAGTATGATTCTCTTCCCTTTTATTACTATCACCTCCTCTCACACTCTTCTTTTTATCTTATTCTCTATATAAAAAATTCAAAACAAAATATAAATGTAGTGTAATTGCAACTGTTTAAATAGATTACGCAATTGTTTAAATAGAAGAGAATGGAAGGGAGAGAATCATTCTCCAAGCATGTGGTCTCCTATCTTTCCTTTTCACAGAAAATTAAAATAAATGCTAAAGACACCTTACTTTTAGCTATTTAATAATATTTAAAAAATAATAATAAACAGTGTCGTAATTTACAAATGCCATATCATCTATAAATATGATTAAAAAACATGTTTAATAATTTTTTTAACAAACGACAATCAATGATGTGTTCAAATTCTTTTTTAGCAAGAATTAAACTTAAGAGAAGGGTGAGCTTATCGCAACAATGAGTTAGTAATGATGGAGTTCAAAAATTAAACTTAAAACCTTTTGTTTATAAGTGAAATGAAACATCACTAAACAGTAATACTAAGGGCTCTATCAGTATAACATTTTCACTCTACAAAATATGATTAAAGGATTCAAGTAGCTGAATTCTCTGGCACATATATAAGGATTCAATTCAAAGCATACTAATCCAACGGTAAAATAAATACGATTCTTTATTGATCAACGGTGCTAATGGGAGGATACAAAACACAAAAGTTATCCATATTGTTGAACAAAAAGGTTTAACATTAAACAACCTACATACTGCTCATAGTACTCCAGACTGCAAACAAACCAGAGTGTATACCCCAATTTACTTCCGCCAACGATCACTAACCACCGTCTGATCACCAAAACCGAAAATCAGACATTCCCACGCCGACGGTCCTGATTCATCCCCCAACCACGGACCCCAAACTGCAACTCGGCAGCTGCAATCAAGAACTCCACAGCCTGCTGTGGAGTCAGCAGTTCCACAATTTTTCTCACCGTCCTCAGCCGCAGATCGTCCGCCGTCTTCAACACACTCACCAACGATCCCATGTTCATATCCAGATTCGTGCATGCGCCTATCATCTCAAACGCCTCGGCTTGCCACTCTGATAACTGCTCCGATATCGCATTCTCCTCTTTCACCTACATCAAAATAATGAAGCTAGTTACTCATTTCATTACGCATGTAAGTGGCGAAGCCACAGAGGCGCGAGGAGGTGCGGCCGCCCCTCCGGTCGCTGGAATTCAGGCCTAAGATCCAGATTTCCGCCCCTCTGCTAGCAGCTGCCGCTCTGCTTTGCCGGTGCTAGTTTTGGTACTCTGCGCGGCGTCGCTACGTTTCTGGTTTTTTTGTTTAAATCCCAGGCAAATGGCGTAGTTGTGGAAAGGTAGAATTAAGTGAAACAGTGCGTAGACAGCAAAGTAAAAGGGATCGTTTTCGAGGATGGGGGCCTAGTGCAGTGGCACTAGAGCCAAGAAAACTCCCACCCATCCAAGGTTCGAATCCCCCTACCCCCAAATTTAACTAATGACAAAAAAAAAAAAAAACAAAACAGCAGGGGACCACACTTGTCCCCCACCCCAATTATGTTAAAACTTAAATGGTTAGTGTTTCATTTTCTTTATCTTGACCGTCCATTTCTTTTGGCAAACCCACCACTTTCATTTAAATCATGTTATTTTGTACCACACTGCAAGACCCGTCTAGGTTCCTCAATTTTTAATTAATCAAAGTATAATTACAACTTTTAATTATATTAACAAGGAATAAAAATAGTGAAATTTTAACTTTTCGTGTTAGTATAATACATGTAGCATGAGTATAAGCAAGAAGGTTGAAATAAAAGACTAATGTCACATGTATTCCTACAACACAAAATCTAAAAATTTAACTATACCCACTATTTTTGTTCCTTGTCAATATAATTAAAAGTTATAATTAAAGTGTGATTACTTATGTTTTGGTGATCTATTTGTTCGAGTTTTCCTAGCTAAGTTTTTAAATCCGATTAACAGGAGATATAACACTCGTCAAAGAAAATGATGAAATGAGATATTAATGGTTGACTGATAACATGATTGTTTACATGTCTTCTTCTTTTTTTATTGATAATGAGCCTATTATGCGATATTTTTATGACATGAAACATCGTAGACAACAACTGTAACTTGTTTGTATTGATAAATTAAGAATGACATTAATGTTATTGACTATCTAAAAGGATTTGGTTATCTACAGTTTCTTGGGACTTTTACCCTTTTAAATATCGCCCCTCCCCTAAACAATTTCTGGCTTCGCCACTGATGTTGATTCCAATTTTTTCTTTATAAGAATATGTAAAGTTATTATAAAATCACATATGTAAAGATATTACAAAATCACATTTAGAACACTAAGTGTTTACGTTGTTCACCCCGCCAATAGCTGCTATTTAGCTGTCCAAAAATGTCATCATGCAATCTTCTGTATCGTTCTTGAGAATGAAGAGTGTTGATAACAATTTTTAGTTTCCTTTGTAAATTACAAGAATTAAGTGCGAATTCCATATTTATACTGACAAATCAATAAAATATTGTTGCTATTTGCAGACATTGTAGGAGAGATTTTTCAGTGTGACCGGCACACAAGATGGTACACCACGTGTCACTATACAAATGGTGGGATATGTGTGTTAAAAAGTTAATAACTTAAAAAAATAAAATTTTTCACCATTTACATAAAAACACGTGGTGTACCATTCATGTTCCCGTCACAATGAAAAATTTCTCGACATCGTAGAATCCTTTTTTAGTTTAACTAATTTAGATAGTTTTAGTCATTGTTGTGATTTATATATATGAATAATACAAGAGAGATTATCTATAATATTTTTTAAACTATAGACCGTAATTGTTGATAATTAACGTGCTTATTTTTTATTATGTCACATGATTTACAAATTTGATCTAAAAAATTAGTCCTCAGCATTCCTCTTACATATAATTACAGTTTTATATATATAAAGTTTCGCATTGGACTTATATATACTTACAGTTTCGCATTGGAGTTCGCTGACGCGGCCGAACTGGTAGGGGGTGAGGTCCCCGAGGTCACCGGTGCGTTGCCCTGGAGTATGTCGAAGATGTGAGCCTCAAAGTGGATGGAGGACTCGGAGTAGATAAGGTGGAAGGCAGTGGTGGGGCGCCAGCAGCCAATCCAGTAGAGGGAGCGCTCGAGGGTGGTGGCCCAGGGAGCAACAAAGACGGAGAGGGTGTCGCGCTCCGCGGCAAGAGACTTGACACGGTAGTACTCGGCGTAGTGGGCCATGACTTTCTGGACGACGTGGAGGAGGTGTTGGTGTTGGTCGGGGTTGGTGGGAGGTATGGGACAAGTGGAGAGCTGGTAGACTAGGTGGTGGAGCTGTTCATTGTCGTGGTTTTAGAATTTTTTGTCGAAGGTGTTAGAATTAAACATAAACCAATAACAAGTTATATGAGCTACTGTTATCAAAACACAAATCAATGTTCATTAAACCAATGTATGGAGAAAACCGTACCTGTAGATGAACTTGAACCGGTTGCCATGTCTGATTTCTGTAACAATGTTGCAGTGCACCTTCTTCTCTCTTCAGTGTTCAAGGTTCTCAACTAATAATAGGTCTTAGTCTTGTATTGAGTCCACACTGCGAGAGCAGAGGCCACCATATATATACTATACAATCTTAGCCAAATTCTTTAAGGATTCCCCTATTAAAATCTATATGGAATACCAATTCATTCTAAATAGCAGTCCAGTTACAACATGAATTTACAAATCCATTCTCAATACGTGGAAGAAGATGGTGAGATATTTTCAGTTTTGGTAGTAAGGTTTCTGGTAATTTTATTGCCATTAGGGGCTGCCGCGAAATCAAGTTTTTTGGTCAAATAAAAATCGAAAAAAATTGGAAAATTTGTGATTGGCGACAACTTGGTTTAGTTATCCTCGGAAGAGTATGTAAGTTTCTTTTCAGTCTAGTTTGCAGCAGGTACAGTTTTAGGGTTGCAGCAGGTACAGTTTTAGGGTTTGCTTCCTACTGTAGAACGTAGACTGGAGGTTTTTCACTTCAGTTGCATACCCTCACAAGGATGGCTTACTCGTCTTTATAACAGTTTTCAGATTACATTCAGGGCTTGTAAACCCTATTTACATGGGAAGTATGAATTTCATAATTACAGCAGAATGGAAAGTGAAGCTAACAACTATCAAACAGTATAACAACATTTGAAAAAAATCCTAGACCTAGCCAACTTCTTCTCGGATAAGTCATAAAGATCACACAACAAACTCAAGTAGTTGAGGAAACTGGTGCACCGTTTTTTTCTGAAAAAAAAAAAAGCACCTAAGTTTGAGTTTGAACTCATCATCTGGTTATATACTATTAACCTATGATCACAGCACTAAAGAGGGAAATTAGTGTAGAAATTAGTAACTGAATGATATGTTTGAGCGAGAAGCTCAAGTTTTAAAAGAGATTGATGTCAAGTTAGAAAGAAGTGAACTACCAATTTTAGATAGATATAATTAGAAATGAAATCGACGAGCATTACAAAAGCATATAAGACGTATTCTTCACTAGCTGGAATGAGTCATTTACAAATTCCTCATGCATGCTTTCATAATATGAAAGTGCTACTCACACACCCGTTTTTAGCTCTTACACATCCTTGTTAATTTTGGCCATTGATCTTCGTGAATTCATTCGATCCGACCGGCTGAAAATTGAGAGGGACGAGTGAAGTGAAAATGGGTGTGGATACCACTACCCTTCATAATCTTGTGTAGTCCAGTTTTAGTTCCATTTGTATTTCTCACACATTTAGCTTCAATCGCTTAAGATATGCAAAGTACTCGCCTAAGCATAGTCGAAAAGGTACTAAATAAGCAGCCTCACTTTCAAGTACGGTTACCTTGTTACATCTTAACTCCAATCTCTAGCCCTACTTTTGGCACCCCTTGCAGTAAATGGATCTTTATATAGTTGATCAGTAACAATCACGTAGAGTTTACGGTTAAAGGTTCTGTATTGAACGAGACTTTAATGATGTGTTTATGCACCCGTAATCATAATGAAAACAAAGAGTTTAATTCTGATTATGGATCATTCTTGTGTTTATTAAGATATAAAAGAATCAAGACTGTGTGGTCACGTGAAAAATGGAAGTCAACTCTCCTTTTGGAAGAATTAGGGCCTGTTTGGTATCCTATTTGAAAATTTTTATCATTTCTCAAAACATTTTTTAAGAACATTTATTGAAAACAGTTTTTTTGAAAACTCAAAAACTTGATTGGTTTCTAATTTAAAATTTTTAAATCTTACGACTTAAACTATAACAAAGAGATTTAAAAAAAGGAGGTCGCAAGAGAGGTAGAAAGAGAAGAGAGGAGGAAAGAAAGTAAGATATGATTTAAGGAAAAAGAAAGAAGAGAGAGAATCATACGAGATAAAGAGGAAGATGAGTGAGAAAAAAAACCTAAAGAATAAAAAGAGCGAATTGGAGGAGAGACGAAAAAGATAAAAAAAAAAAAAAAAAAAAAGAGGATAGAGAAAGAAGAAAAGAGAGAGATTTGGAGTGAGAGTGGAGGAGGAAGAGAAAAGAAAAAAGTGAGTTTAAGTTTAAAAACTCTAAAAACTCACTTTTTATGTTTTTAGATAATAGACTATATTTTTGAGTTAGTCTTGAGTTCAGTTTTTGAAAATAGTCCTACCAAACAAGTTTTTAAGGCCTAAAACTTGAAAATTGTTTTTGAGTTTAAAAAGTTGGATTCAAGTACACTACCAAACAGGCCCTTAGATTCCCTGGTGGAGGTTAGATAGAATTGCATTCCGAGAGTTGGTGGGGTCAGGAATGCGTGGTTTTTACCCATTATTATATCCCTACATATTTTATAAAATGCCAAGTCTACCTAGGGTGTATTTATAGCAATTTGGAGATGATGACCTAAACAATAACAGGTAGGGCAATTAAAGTCTGCGTAGCAGTTTGGAAAAATGCTTAATTGTAAAGCGAAATTGCAACGGAAGAAGTCTTTTTTAAGGAAAAAAAAAATCAGGTTTTAAAGAGGTGAAAAAGGGGCAAACAAATTATGGTTTATATTATAAAGAGGTCAAAAGTTTCTATAATTTATAAGTATATGTTGTTGTGGAAATTGTTATTACCTAGCAAATAAATTTATTTATTTAGAACATAGGCAGTTTGGTAATTATACTGGTTTTAATTAAAACCAATTCAATGATGTCATGAGCGTTTGAAGATGTAGCTGCATGCATGCACCAAACTTAAGCTCAATGTTTGCACGAAAGGGCAGAACAGCCTTGAAAAATAGCTTGCCAACAGAATTCTGTGTTTCAAAGGGCCAATGTGCGTATGATGAATATTTAATTAACTTGAAATCTAATGACGCGCAATCTTGTATGTATTTTATTTATTTTTGACAAGAAGCGATAGCGATATTTCATGAATCATAATAAATAAGTATAAATGTGTCAATTGGGTATATAGCACTAATAATCAAGATATTAAGCTAGCATGAATTTTTACAAACAATACATCAAGCACAAGCGCACCAATATAAATTTGTTATAAGAACAATAGACACAATAAACCTATACTAGTGCACAAACCGATCATCGCCGAGAGCGAGGAACAATCTTGTATGTTTGTTTGTTTGACTTGTTTTTTTGTCTGATTGATGCAGTCATACGCCGGAAGTGTAACATTATGATGCCAGCAATTGCACATGCTCAAGTCCACAAAAAATGGACAATCGTCTGAGCTCATTTCACAAACTATTTTATACGAGAACTGTACTTTCACTTTTTCTTGTGATGAAAAGGAAAACTTAGTTTTACCAAAAACGTTTTAGTAATCAATTTAGTTTTTATACTGATTCCTAATAGTTCGTAAACACTTTGTTGAGATTCAACTTTATTATTATTCTGATTCTTGATAGTTAGTAATCATGAGAATGCCTTTTATATCTTTTTTTAACGCTGATTTCTTCGTAATGAGATTCTTGTTTATTTTGATTTCATGTATGTAAACATGCCCTTATGGTTTATCCTTCTTATAAATTAGGAGTGGAGATGCACTGAGCAATTACATTGCAAGCAGTTATTGTTCATTTAAAGGAATCGAGTTGTCTATAGCCTAAGGTGCCTTCTTACACTGAAAGTGCTCTGATGCCAACCATTGCACATGCTCAAGTCCATTTTTGTTTCAAACATGGACAATCGCCTGAGCTCATTTCACAAACTATTTAATACGATAACTATCCTTTTCACTTTTCCTTGTGACGAAAAGTAAAATTTATTTCTACCAAGAAAATTTTAGTAATCAATTTAGTTGCATATGGATTCCTAATAGTTCGTGAACACTTTGTTGAGATTCAACTTTATTATTATTCAAATTCTTGATAGTTAGTAAACATGAGAATGCCTTTTATGTTTTTTTTTCACGCTGATTTCCTCGTAACGAGATTCTTGTTTATTTTGATTCCCCATATGTAAACATGCCCTTATGGTTTATCGTTCTTATCAGTTTAAGAGTATACCTTGAACTTATTATCCAACTTCCTTCAAGTGCACCGGTATAAAGATAACTTTGAGACATTCAAACATGTCATATCCTTCCTGTCCAAAAATTTAATTTTCTCATATTTTGATTTAAATTTTTAGAACTCAAAAACATGTTTGGTAGGTCACTTCTCAAACATCTGAACACTCAGTATTGGCAAAACTATTTTATCTCAAAGCAGTTGCAGACCCTCTGTTTTTAACAAACTTCACTCTTATAACAGAACCGATTTTGACAGTTTTATGCAGAAATACACTGAAAGTTTTGACAGTTTTATGCAGAAATACACTGAAAGTTTTGAAGAGAACTGCCATTACATGTAGCCTTCGTTATGTGAAGCTCGCAGAACTTAGTAGAGTAACGGCCTCATGGTACCGTACATTATGTGAAGTTAGAAGTTTAAACTGCAAAAGATTAGCGCATGATCATCCCAGAACAGTTAAACGAGCAAGCTCAAAAGCGTGCTGCAAAATCCATGACATAACAATATTGAACTACCAAGTTCACTGCCACTACGAATTACTAACAAATCCAATTCTTCAAGACTACGAGTTGTGCCTCCACCCAACGTTTTAAAATAGTGCAATGTATGATCGTCCAATAGACATGTATATTACAATAAGCGAAAGCTCTTTGGCAATCACAATATCCCCACAAAACACACACGCATACACAGAGGAAGTTTGCATACTGCATGAATCAAAGTATAAACTCCAGAAAAATTGACAGAAAAGAGAGCCGAAAAGAATACAAAATCGAAAATTCATCCCCAATCCCTATCTGACTCCAATCTCAACTTGATTTTTGGTCACCAGGGCTCTTACATTATGCCGAGAATTATTCATATTCGGTATAATTTTATACATCGAAGGATACGAATTCGTCTACTATTCGGCCGTGAAATTCAACAACCAAACTACTGAAGCTCGATCATTCTAACTAGAGTTCACAAGGAGCAGCACATATAAACTTAAAAGCTGAGACAAATTGCCAAATTCCGCGGCGAAATTCGAAAATCCAGCTCAAAACACAGCAAGATTTCATATTTATGCAAAATTTGAGAACGAATCACTCAAATTGTTACTGTTTTACACACATTCAGCGAGAATTTCAAACAAAAACCTGACATCACTCAAGGGCATTTGCAG